TGATATATACAAATGGCTGGACTACCTTAATGAACCTAAACAATCAATAAACATCAAAATAGACTAAACACAAAACACCGGGTCGCACGACCCAGGACCATGACAGTTTTTGCAAAACCGTGCACCTACCCTTGTCTGCCTCTGACCTCACAGCCTATTTTTTCGTAAATGGTGGTAGTTTCAGTCAATATGTATATGTACTGTTTATAAGGTTGGGGAAACCTGCAGTCAGCTGAGACTGAAGAAGTCACTTGGATGAGTAACAAAACATTTCTCCCACTCAAAATGCAACATCCAGATTAACTTATTCAACTTAATCAACTTTTTGGGATATCAGAGAAAACAAAGAACAAATAATAAATTAAGAATCCCACAGTATAAGACCAATGAAGACCAGTTAAAATGGTTTAATCCATGCAGCATGTGTGAAGTAGCCTGGCCTAAGCACATCAGCAGAGCAGCATAAGTCACCACAGCTTGAACGAGGCCACATAGGCTAAGTAGCCTAGACAAAACCACACAGGCAAAAGAGCAGTCTGGCCTGGAAATCTAAAAAGTCCAATATGGCAGGCATTCTGGAGCAAGTATGTTCTGCAATTTAATGCCCAGGTTCCTTTATGCAGTGTTGTTTATATTGCATTATCTTGTAAAGCTAACTTAACGCATCACTGTGTGGAAAGAAGGCACGAGCAGTTTTCTGATTCAGCTAACAAAAGTTGGTCAGGTTGCTTAACAATAAGCAAATAAACAGAATTTCAAGAACAAATTTTATTTATAAGAACATGTACCACAACCACTATTTTCCATTTCCTAGCATTTGTGCTAGATGACTTTTTGAGCGCATGGCCAGATGGTGCCCTCTCCAAAAGCGTGTGTTGTGGCACACATTGTTGCTCTACCTCTGCCTCTCTCTCTCTCTGTGTGTGTGTCTGTCTTAGAAACACACAGCCACAAACACACAAACAGAGTCCAGGAGGCTACCATACCATCCACTATCCCATCTCATTCTACTGGCTATAGCCTAAAACTGTCGAAGCAAAAGTACTCACATGTCTGCTGAGAGACCTAATTCTTGCACGCTGCTCTCCCAGGGGAACCACAGAGAGAGAGAGAGAGAGAGAGAACGAGGGAAAAGACCAATGGTTTCATTTTAGCCTGGTAAGCATAAATCATAGCACAACCATCTCATTGATGGAAAATCCAAACTAAACTTTAGTTTATGAAAAGGAAAACAGTAAATCAAAAACTTTTTGCAGCCTTTTGATAATTGGCATTGGAATTCATTAGAGCTCATTTTTGACTGAATCTTGGCTTTCATTTTCCATTAGGTTTTCATTAGTCTTGAATGCTATTCCCCAGATTTATGCATCTTCGATAGAAGTCAAGGCACAACAAAGAGCAAAACACAGTCAAATATTCAAAATTATATGTATGTAAGCTATTACCATTGAGTAACTGACCTTGGGTGCTCCAGACAGCTTTAGAAATTCTCCCTAACCAAAGATTTACAGATTTCACATTCCCACATTGTGTCATTAATGGCACTGAAAAAAAATACTGAGTTAGGTGTCCCATATGGAAAAGAAATAGAAAAAACTTATAAAAGACTTGCATAAGATGTGGCCTACTTCATACAGTGAATCATATAAGGCTTATATGATTTACTCATGAAAGTGGCCACTTTCTCATTACTTTCATATATTGTTTTAGTAAGTATCCAAAACATACAAGTTATTTTCAAGCTTTACTCTTCCCTCCATAACTGATGTATCTAATCTTATTAAAAAATCTAAGTCAACCACCTGTCAACTTGACCCTCTCCCCACTGTGTTAGTTAAAGCCTGTCTTCCCTCGTTAGCACCTCTCATAACCAATATTATTCATTCCTCCCT